CTCTGACAACGTCCCTGTATTCCTCCCAAGTGGCCTGTCCCCTTTTCTACATTCTGTACACTTCCTTCTTCTGCTGGAGTTTTGCCAGGAGTTCCTTGCTCCTCCAGGCAGGTCTCCTGCCCGCTTTGCTGGACTTCTTCCTCAGAGGGATGCACTGATCTTGAGCCTGGAGGAGGTGATGCTTGAATGCGAACCAGCTTTCTTGGACCCCTCTTCCTTCTAGGGCCCTACCCCAGGAGATTCCCCTAAGTAGGTCCCTGAAGAGGCCAAAGTCAGCTCTCCTGAAGTCCAGGGTTGCAATGCTACTCATTGCCCTGCTCCCTCCTCGTAGGATCCTGAAATCCATCAATTTGCAGATGCACAGGATGTAGCATGCATTTTTTCCAGGGAACACTAGTGACACATGTAAGAATCATAAATGGAGCAAAGCTTCAGTTTATCTACACAACTTGCTAGCTAATAGCTATGATTTTGGTGCTGTTGCCTAATTTCCCAGAGTGCAAATTATTCTAATAAACACGAATACATTTAGATTTCCTTCTGACTTCAGTGGTATATCCTTATTGTGCAATAGGTGTTGATGCCAGATTACTAATCTCTCTGTCCAATCTCTGTTTTCCTTCGCACCACCCACAGTTCTCCAGAAAGGGAACAAACACAGAGGTGAAGACCAAAAGCTTGTAGCTGAATATCCTGTCTCTCACAGCTGCCCAAACCAAAACATCTAGGTTGATTCTGTGGCTGATCCTGGTAGACTATGAAAACATTTTCATGATAGAACAGTCATTCTAATTCCACTAGCAAATGCCATCCAGAAAATAGGAGAAATATCTCCTATTGCATCCTCTCAAATGGCTAATTTATACTGTAAGGAATTTATAATCACAAAGATCAGTGTAAAAACTAAAAATTGGTGTCAGCATCACCATGGAGACAATGACAGTGTTTGCAAATAAATCACCTAGCTCCCTGAATTATACTAGATTCACTGTATAAGAATATACAGGCTCTGCTTTTTATAAGCTTCTGTAAAGGTAACAGGCCCAAAACTGCAGCGCTGATGCTAAGTATTGTGTTATTTGCTTCTGTGTTATGACAAGTGAAGCTAATAAAAAACTGTGGGTTCTCTAGAGACATTTTTCTAGCTCAGCATGAGAGAAAAGTGTGAAACAAATTCTCAGCACTATTTACCTTGGTAGCTGTATCTGCTGCCTGTAATGTTAGGTTACAAATTTATTTGGTTGGACACCTTTACGAAGTTAAATGAAATTTATTAGCAAGGTTGATGCTGTGAAGGCAGATAGAGGCTAGTCAGGCAACGTTTCTCCAGTAATGCTTCCTTTTGGTGAAAGAGGAAACTTTCTCGTTTGTTTGGCATTGTTTTCATAAATAAAAAAGTGGCTCTGGCTTCTCAGACTTTTTTCCTTGGTATGATGAGGTGGGCGTGTAAGAAGGAGGTGCTGAAATGGGTGCAGAAATTTCATAGTATACTTGGAACTTCCCTTTGATCTGTAAAGGAGGTGGTTTTTTGTTCCTCTGATTTAGAATTTACACACCCATTTATTCACTTAGCTGTAAGCAGCAACATCTGCTGGCTTGAGTTTCTGTGAGAACCAAATCCACCCCTTGCAAAGGTGCAGAGTGAGGAGATATACGGACTATGGTATGTACAGGATGAGGGGAGGAGGATGCAAGGATCCTAGCTGGGGCTTGTCAGTCTCTTTGCCACAGACTTGTTTCCTGCAGCCTCCCTCTGCTTTAAGGTCAGAGGGGCCGGAAACCATGGTTTTACCACAGATGCTGACGCAGCAACCAGCTTCTCTTAAAAAAGTCATGAGGACTAAGTAGTTAGTGACAACAGAAGGCTCTCTAGAGCAGTTCTTTAGATTTTATGTAAGATTTCTCCTTCTGCTTGAAGCTCCCTATCACACAGGCTCTTCTGTAATGCAGTGCAAAGAGGTCAGGAACTCAGAGTCAGAGGAAAATCGTGACGGAATGGAGCGGTGGCTTAAATTACATTCTGCATCACTGTGGTAATATCTGCCATACAAAGACAAAAGCCACTACATGGGAGAGCTACTGCTAAGCCAGCACTCTAAAAGCCTCATTGTCTTTGCAGGGTCCCACAGCAAATAGCAAATAGCAAATAGCAAAATGCTGTTTTGCTTTTTTAATTCCCAAGAGCCTGTAGTCCTTAACTGTGGTTGTGGTTTTGGCTTCACTGCTCATTCCCACAACTGGTTTCAGATCTGAGTTTGTTTGGAAAGGCATTTTGGAGCCTAGAAACTTGCCTATGCAAACAGAAAACCAAACCTTTTAAAACAGAGGAAATCTTGTATGGGAATTGCCTGTTTCGAGGAAGAGATCCTTGCAGGCAATTCATTAGCAGGTCCTACTGCAGTTCAGCTGCGTGTGTATGCCATTTCGCAATGCAATCTCTTCCTGTGCTTTTGGTGTTACCTACCATGTCCAGCAAAGTTATCTGGAGGATAACCACCTTTTCTCTGTTTTCCATTAACACCTCCCTTTTATTTTTTTCTGTATAAAGCAAACAGTACAGTGTCATGGCATGTTGCATACATTTAAAGTATCGTAGCACTGCATTGAGACTTGTTATACTCCGCTAACTGATTTCAAATTATATATTTGTTCCTCTGAACAGATTCTCCTCCTAGCAGATTTAAAAAATGAAGGAGAAAAACAGTTATGTTGAATTACAAATGAGTATGAAACCTGTATCAGTTGTTAGGACAAGTATAACTGCTGGACTGTTTTCAGATTCTTCATCTTCCACAAGCTGTCACGCTTGCTTACTTCATGCAGCCCATCCTGCCAACGTGTCTGTAATGCAACAGCAGCATCGCAGTCTTCTGGCATTTTCTGAGTTCTTTCCTCTTCCAGTTTCAAGCTGTTACCACACCTCTGTTGAGCTCTCAGAGCTCACTGAAGAGAGTTAATTCCTTGTCCTAATGCAGTCTCAGAGCTTCTGGCTTTGTTTTTGTGTTCTGGTGGATTTTGGCAAAGTTATATATTTGTTATATATATGTATAAATATTAGAAATATAAAAGTGCTTAAATTAGCAGCAAAAGAAGAAGCATAAGAAAGCTTGTCAAACTTGGAAGTGGTTGGCTCCCTTCCTTCAAGGAAATACATTATTCTTAGCACTTTACTGAGGCTGAGGATACCAGTGATGGTAGAGCCTGTGGATGAGTTGGAGATGCTGAGCGTGCAGGAGAACTAGACAGTCAGGGGCTGATCTGCTGTTGCTACTGTTCATACTTTTATCACCTTGCATGCTGTTTCCTGCTCTAGGTCATGCTTCTGCTGTTCAAAAGACTTCACTTCCTTTCCTATTGCAGCCTGTATGTGACATACATAATGAGTTATTGCAATTATTGTTCTCATTAGCATCTCTTGTTGAAATGGCTGCTTACTTCTAAAGAATAAGTGGGTTTAAAGGTCTGATCTTACTTTCCTTTGCAGTAAAGACAATGCTGCTACAGTGACACGGCAGGCATTCACATCTTCA